TAGGAAAAAAACATTGAGGCATCCTTGGTGTTTATTGTTTTACAATTATAATTATATACTTAAGTCAAATTATTCCATTAACTAATCAGAGTCACTATATTTTATTAATCAATAAAACAGAAGGTTTTGAAGATTCGCTATGATCCGCTTTGGAAGATCTGGTCCCATCATGTGGGTTCTTGAAACTTCTCTTTCCTTTGCTTTTGTTGAGTATAGATTTAAAATTCTCCTATCTTCCTTTTCTCTTCTTCTATACTGTTTGATTCCTATTCTACTCTTCCTTCCACCCCCACTCCCTAGATAGATATATACAAACATATACATATATATACAAATATTTGTGTATACACACACACACACACACACACACACACACACAAGCATGCATACCTAAATATATATGCGTACAAACACATACATATGCATATCTCTCTGTGTATGTATATATTTTCTCCCAGGTCCCATAATAAAGTCAGTAGTGCCATAAAGTGAGTCAAATGAATCTTTTGGTTTCCTACTGCATGTGAAAGGTTTGTTTACACAATGCTATGGTTTATTAAGTATAAAATAGCATTAAGTCTAAAAAAAATGATGTACTACCTACCTTAATCTTTAATGGTAACCATCACCTGAGCTTTCAGTGGGTTGTAATCTTTTTGCTGGTGGAGGGTCTTGCCTTGATGTTGATGGCTACCTAGTGATTGGGATGGTGGTTGCTGAAGGCTACAGTGGTTGTGGAAATTTCTTCAAATATGACCAAGTTTGCTGCAACAGTTGATTTTTCCTTTCACGCATAATTTTTCTGTAGCTATTTGTGATGCTATTTGATAGCATTTTACCCACAGAGGAACTTCTTTCAAAATTGGAGTCAGTCCCTTCAAACCCTCAGGCTGCTTTGTCAGCTAAGTTCATGTAATATTCTAAACTCTGTATTGTCATTTCAACAGTCTTCATAGCATCTTCACTAGGAGTAGATTCCATCTCAAGAAATCACTTTGTTTGCTCATCCATAAGAAGCAACTTCTCTTCCACTCAAATTTTATCATAATATTGTGGCAGTTAGTCACATTTTCAAGCTCCATTTCCAATTCTATTTCTCTTGCTGTTTCCACCACATTTACAATTACTTTCTCCACTAAGTCTTGAGCCCCTCCAAGTCATCCATGAAGATTGGAATCAAATTCTTCCACACTCTTATTAGTTTTGTTATTTTGACATTTTCCCATGAAGCACAAATTTTCTTAATGGCAATCTAGAATGATGAATACTTTCCAAAAGATTTTCAATTGACTTTTCCCAGATCCTTCAGAGGAGGCACTATCTATGGTAGTTATAGCCTTACAAAATGTATTTCTTAAATAAGACTTGAAAGTTAAAATTACTCATTGGTCCATGGACTGCAGAATGGATATTAGATTAGCAGGCTTGAAAACATTAATCTGATTGTGTATCTCCATCAGAGCTCTTGGGTGACCAGGTGCATTGTCAAAGAGTAGTGATCTTTTGAGAGAAATCTTTTTTCTCTCAACAGAAGGTTTAAAATATTCAGTAAACCAAGTTGTTAACAGATGTGCTGTCATCCGGACTGTTTATTTATAGAGCACAGGCAGATTAGATTGAATAATTCTTAAGTGTTCTAGGATTCTTAGAATGGCAATGAGCACTGGCTTCAACTTCAAGGTACCAGCTGCATCAGCCCCTAAAAAGAGAGTCAGCCTGTCTTTTGAAGCTTTGAAGCCAGGCATTGACTTCTCCTCACTAGCTATTAAAGTCGTAGGTGGCATCTTCCAATATAAAGCCATTTTGTCTACATTGAAAATCTGTTGTTTAATGTAGATAGCTTCATTAATGATTTTAGCTAGATATTCTGGATAACTTGATGTAGCTTCTACATCACCACTTGCTGTTTCACCTTGCGCCTTTATGTTGTGGAGATGGCTTCTTTCCTTAAACCTCATGAAACAACCTCTGCTAGCTTCAAAGTTTTCTTCTGTAGCTTCATCACCTCTCTCAGCCTTCACAGAACTGAAGAGAGTTAGGGCCTTTCTCTATATTAGCCTTTGGTTTAAGGGAATGCTGTGGCTGGTTTGATCTTCTATCCAGATCTCTAAAACTTTATATCAGTGATAAGACTTTATCACTTTCTTATCATATGTGTGTTCACTGAAGTAAAGCTTTTAATTTCCGTTGAGAACTTTTGATTTGCATCCACAAGTTGAATGTTTGACACAAGAGACCTAGCTTTTAGGCTGTCTCATCTTTCAGCATGCCTTCTTCATTAAGCTTAATCACTTCTAGCTGTTGATTTAAGGGAAGAGACATGTGTGACTCTTCCTTTCACATGAACACTCACAGGCCATTATAGGATTATTAACTGACCTAATTTCAATACTTCTATGTCTTAGGGAATAGAGAAGCCCAAGAGGAAGGAGAAATATAGGGGGGTGGCTGGTCTGTGGAACAGTCAGAACGCATACAACATTTATTCATTAATTTCACCATCTTACATGCATGTGGTTCATGGTACCCCAAAATAATTACAGTAGTAACATCAGAGATCACTGATCATAGATGGCCAGTTTGTATTAACAAACATAATAATAATGAAAACATTTGAAATATTGCAAGAATTACCAAACGTGACACAAAGACAGGAAGGGAGCAGATGTTGTTGGAAAACTGGTGCCAATAGGCTTCCTCAATGCTGGGTGGCCACAAAACCTTCAATTTGTAAAAAATCTGGGGTCAGGGAAGCACAATAGAGCTCAATTAAATGAAGTACAATAAAATGAAGTGTAACTGGATATATATGTGTATATCTGTATATGTTTATGTATATGTACATATTTACATGCATATATATTTAAATTTTAGTCTCAACTCCAAAAATGAATTTGCCATTCCATGAATGCATGTCACTCACAGTTTGAAAACTCTGAAATAGGCCTAAGTGATATCAGGAATTCTGATGAAAGTGAACACTAAGAATGGGAGGATTCCAGAAGTTTTCATGGCCCCAGGTTAGAAGGTCTTAAAGGAGGAAGAGAAATAGACAACATGGTATTATATATTTTTTAATAGCTCTAATTATTTATCTTTATTATCTTTGAGGCTTCAGGAATGTTAATGAGTTATTCTCCCACCTGCATTTGTAAGTGGCAAAAGAGACAATTGTTACAAAGTAGTTCATCATGTAGGCAGGGGAGTCAGCCTGTCTGGCTCCGTGGTCTACAAGTAGCATGATTTGGAGAAAGTTAGTTCAACTCCTTGTACCTCAGCATCTTTGTAAAATGGGAATCACAAAGCCTTAGGTGTGGTGAATATAATAAATATAAAGTTCTTAGCCTAATAAATTATAAACGGTCAGCCTACAATAAATATTGGCTATTTGCAAGTAAATAAATAGTTGATCAAAATCTGTAATAAAATTGAGAACAGAATCCAACAGACAACTGACATACTTGCTTAGAGAGTCATTCAATAAATGTTTCTGATGCCTTTTGGTTCATTGTCAATGAGTTTGGTTAAGGGATAAAAACAGTCTCTTACTAATATTATCAATTATAAATAAATAATTTCAGCTCTGTATATAATGGGGATATGTTCTTTTTAGAAAAGCTATCTGACACATTTTTTCCATATGTTTAGTCTGTGAATATTAATGCATCCCAGCTGAGTCATACAAATCAATTTGCCCATGTGAAAGATTAAAGAATTTTAAAGTTGTGTAGTACTAGAGGTCCAAATATTTAGTTAAAAATCAGGAAAATAAGGTAGAGAGAGAGGGAGAAGGAAGAGAGAGAGAGAAAGGGAGAGAGAGAGAAAAGGAGGGAGAGAGAGACTGAGATTTCCAAGATCTTCAGTAGAAAAACTAGGACTTGAACCTGGGACACTTTCCACTGGCTCTCCCATTTTTCCAGAACCATCATCAATGTTTGCAAGTTGACTGTGAAGTCAGTGGTGGTTTGAAAGAGCTGATGGCAGTCAGAGAGAGCAAAATATACTGTTAAATGAGCAAAAATTAGGCACTCCTTACTGAGCATAGCAACAGCAATGACAGAAATGCAATCTAACTTTAAAAATGGCTACTAAAAATGCATGTCCATGTCTTATGTGAAAACAGGATCAAGGCTGCTATTTCACTGTGAATTTAACCTGAGTCTCAAGGCAATATGAATATTCAAATCTAACATCACTTTAAGACTCCCAGTGGAAGAGAATGAACATTTCTTTTTTAAAATTTACCTCTTAGGCAAGGTTTTGATGGACCAAGCCTGAGAGATTCATTAGCAAAGGTGTGCTATATTTTATTTGTAATTTTCTTTCAATGACAAATTTCCATCATAGAGTAACTAGTATTATGGCAATTAAGACATTAAATTAAATTAGTATATCACATATCATGCTGGGAAAATAATAATGCAGTGCAGTTATGTGCCACAATAGATAATTGCTAAGACAATAGGAATGTGTCCACAGTAAAGGTGATAGTCATTTCTTTGTGCCTATCATCACAGCCAGTTTCAACAGGGAATGAGTCCATCACATTAACTAAACCCCAGTGAAATTCTAGAATTACAGACACCAGGCTTTCTTCTCTCGCGGTCTGGGTTTTCTCAGATTTATCAGCTTCCCTTTATTTAATCAGGTTAAGTTTCCATAGCTTTATGCACTGTTCAGTATCCTTTACGTAAGTCAATTGGATACAAATACTTAGGTATTCAGAATGTTTACTACCTATATAATATTTTCTCCAAAAGCGTTTTTTTGTTGTTGTTGTTCTTTCCTGCAGCAAAACACCACTAACTACAACTGTTTAACTGTGTTTGGAAGAGGGAAGATGCATTCTACAGTGGTTTCTGTATAACAAACTAAGAGTTTCAGGGAATTATTTGAATTACAAATATTCTCCATTCCTGTTCAGTGCATCTTACTGGGCAAAGACCTTAGCATGCTGGTTCATATTCTCATCCGCTTACTTTTGTTTTCTGTCTTTGCAGTTCCGCCATGGTTTTTAAATCACCCTTCCAACCTGTATGCCTATGAAAGCATGGATATTGAGTTTGAATGTTCCGTCTCTGGAAAGCCTGTGCCCACTGTGAATTGGATGAAGAATGGAGATGTGGTCATTCCTAGTGATTATTTTCAAATAGTGGTAACTATCTTCTTTTCATATTAGCTTTACAATCCCATTCATTGTTTCCTATCTTTTCAGTCATTTTTCTTTCCTGGGAAGAGTGTTCCTGTTTGGAATTTTTATGATGTGTTAAAATTTTTCTAGTAAAGTAAATGACTTTCTAGAGTTAAAATTTTTGAGTTGAAAAAGAATGATCAAACAGCCCAGCCCCCTTGTTTTACAGACAAGGTTTTAAATAAACAAACAATGGAAAATACAGAGGACCCAAGACTATGTTTCCAACTATTCTCATTGCTGGTTCTTAGGAGAACAGAGTTTAGAACCTACTCCTAAACTATATGAAGCCAAGAATATCTTACTTCTTTGACTTTTACCCTTTATAATAAAGTTTCAACAAGATTATTTGCTTCAACTTATGATTATTGTAGTCTTACTTCCATAATACAGGCATTTTTTTTTTTTGCTACCATTCCAAATAGGACAGCTGATCCTACTAGAGCAGTCGAAAAGGATGTAGTGACAGTAACAATAACAGTGGTAGTTGCCTTGGTAGCAAAGCCATGGAGATCCAGAATTCACATGGTGTTGCACTTCTGAACATTGGAAAGAATTGAAGCTGAGAATAACAGTTCTTATAGTTTCTCTAAGTTCTAGTGCATTCTATCCCCTCTGGGTGATAATAGGGATGATGTATTATATATACTACGTTGTTTTCCTGGTACACAGTGAGCACTCAATACCTATCATTATTAGCTTTGCTTTTGCTGTTACCAACAGAATTCTTTGTTCATGTAAAAAATTCTCTATGAAAGCTCTCCTTTAGGTGTAGGTTGGCCTGGGAGGTTCTGAATTCAAGGATATGAATATATGAGAAATATGAAAAGCACTTTCCAAATATCAGAGAACTTTGTAGCTAAAGAAGAAGTATTTAGGCCTGTTTCTCTTAGGTTGAGATGCAGATATGACCTGTCGAAGAAGAGTGTGTAAGCCAGGTCTTCTGGCAGAAGGGTAATAGACCACAGGTGCCCTGCCAATCCGGGCATGTGCTCTACTTGACCTTGCACTGGTGCTCATTTGTGGATCCACCTCTTTGTTGCTGGATCAGTTGACTTTCAAACAAAATTTTTTTTCAACGTTTATTTATTTTTGGGACAGAGAGAGACAGAGCATGAACAGGGGAGGGGCAGAGAGAGAGGGAGACACAGAATCGGAAACAGGCTCCAGGCTCTGAGCCATCAGCCCAGAGCCCGACACGGGGCTCGAACTCACGGACCGCAAGATCGTGACCTGGCTGAAGTCGGACGCTTAACCGACTGCGCCACCCAGGCGCCCCTAGATCAGTTGACTTTCAGAAACTTCCATAACTCTTTATGCATGCATTTTGTCACACCATGAGGGTTCTTAGGGAATATATCCATAAAGCATATCTTTATTACTTTTGTCACCAGTTAGTATTTTCCCCTTTTAGTTGCATTTGTTTAATTGGTTGGGAATGGAGTAAGAAAGAGAAAAAATGTAACTTTTCAATCCATTATTTCCTTTAAGTGTAATGCCATTTCTACTACCACTGAATTAAAAATGACCTGCCATGGGGCAACTTGAAATGTGTTGTGTCTGCCTAGAATATATGCTACTTGCATATAAAGGAAATTGTTGAGTGCCCTTAAGGACACATGATAAAATGCAACATTTATTTTTTTCTACAGTTTGAATAATCTTTCTCCCAGAATGACTCATTACAGCCAACCTATTTAAATGTTTCTTTTCTTAAGGTAAAAAGAAAATGTACAGTGTGAGCTCTGTTCACATTAAATTGTGCTTAAAAATGTTTCCCCAATAGCTGCAGAAATCTGAGAGCCATTGTCTGTCACAAAGTAACATTTAGCACAAATAGTAACTTATATGAGAATTGTTAATTAGAAGTTAGTCAGCTTTATCTAAGAATTTTACATCAGCAGAGAATTGACTACAAGACACTAAAAACAATTAAGAATTCCCCATGAGGTAATATTTATCTCTTAATGACTTCAGGGGAAGTGATTTAACACGTCTCACTTACTGAACTAATTCTTACACTAATATTGAAGAAAAACTGAGTTAGTATAATTAAATGCTATTTCCAGATCATTTTATCATCCATCCTTGAAAAAGATGGTGGCTCAATTTATATAAAATAGGAGTTAACATTGCTGTGTTTAATTTATGGATTTCTGAAGGTGAAGCATTTCAGCCATATAACAAGAAGGACATGGTATAAAATATCTAGCATACCACCACTCCAAATCCCCCAAAAGGGCACATGTCAAAGCAATTACAATTTTAAAAGGATTTTTGGACTTTTATTTTCTCGGTAAACACTTCCAGAAAATATCCCACCTAGATTTATTGTCTTTAGAAGCTGCAAAAATCAGTGTTTTGATTTCTTTTCTTTTTCCCCAGCAGCTGCTGAACCCAAATTTCCTTCAATAACAAGGGAAAAAATGAAATTTCTTTTGAGCTAACCTTTTTTCTTGCCTATTTAATAAAAGAGCTCTCTGTTTGCTGCTAATTTAGATATTGAGGATGATGTGTATTTTTGTGAGAATAGTTTTTATTGCAGAACTAGCTTAAATGGATACACATAGATTCGACAGAGTATTGGGAATCTGTGACATTTTCCAAGTGGCATAAGACATATCTATGAGGCTGAGAACTCTCATGGCCTCCCTTGTTGCTTCTCCTATGGAGTTTTATTAAAATTTTTATATTCATTTTGTCTCTTTGAGTTTTTGTTTGTTTGTTTGTTTTTGCTTTGTAAAATATTTCACCTGCTTCTTTCTTCTCCCTAGGGAGGAAGCAACTTACGAATCCTTGGAGTGGTAAAGTCAGATGAAGGCTTTTATCAATGTGTAGCTGAAAATGAGGCTGGAAATGCCCAGACCAGTGCACAGCTCATTGTCCCTAAGCCTGGTAAGATGAGGGGAACTTTGCTCTGGGACTGGTAGCTGCCATTATGCATGGTCCACTTGTAACATCCACATTGTTTTCCCTATCAAAGTCATTTGGAAATTATTTAATTATTTAGTTTATCAAGGTGTGTATTTATGTTTTGATGGCATATTCTTTCTAGAAAACTAGGTATGTATCTCCATCCAATGAGATAGTCATGAACAGTATGTGCCTCTGGTTGTCAAGATAATAACCACTAAATTACTACCTTATTCCCTCTTGTGGCCTGCTTTTCTTCTAATATTTCAGGTAAATATAGAATACACACACACACATATATGTGTATATATATATATATATATATAATATAGAATATAGTATCTCTATATTCTATATATAGAATACTTCTCTGTGTGTGTATATACACTTCTCTCTCTCGAGATATATATATATATGTGTGTGTATTTATATATATTCTTCTCTCTCTCTCGATATATATATGTATAATATATATATTTCTCTCTCTCGATATATATATATATATATATATAAATGCCATATATATACGTGTGTGTGTGTGTGTGTGTGTGTATATATATATATATATATATATATACACCATATATGGTGTATATATATGGTCTTGAATCAGTGGAAATAGTAGAAATAATCACTTGACCATTTTTCTATATTTTTATAAATAGATTTTGATGAAATGTCTTTTGTCTATGATTTGTAAAGTTTTTTTTTTTTAATTTTATTTTGTCCTGTAGTCTTTTGGAAGTTTAATATGGTGGTGCATTCAAAACTATCATAACTATGATAAGACATATTTCTTATCCCCCAAACAACAAAAATTCTGTCAGGAAAAAAGAAAAGAAAAGAAAAAGAAAAACAAACTGGTCAGCTGCTCTGAAATGTTCTATCACTAAAGAAAGTCGAAAGTATTCATTTGTTTAAAAAAACAGAAATGGAAAATTTGTTTATATAGATCCAAATACTTTAAAATATTAATATCTTCTATGGAAGTTTTCATACCACCTGTTGATTATGTTGCTTTCAACTCTTCAAGACCAATTTCCTCCCTCTTGACATGACTCACCCTCTTGTCTCACTCTTTCCCTGCAGTAAGTTTAATAGAAAGTAACTCAAATGTATGAGACAAAGTCTTTCGTTGGCTTCTATCATTTAAAATGTGTCTTGGAAGGCCTTATATTTTGTGCATCTCTAACCAATCATCTGAAGGCTCTTGGACTCTCATAATAATGCTCGATGATGACTTTCCCTTTCTTTCTTGATTGAAACCAAAAAAGCAACCATATAGCAACAGTCCCAGATGAGTAAAGGAACTAAAGGAATTATCTAGGAATTAAAAAGGACAATTAACTCTCATTCAAGATTGCCAATTTCACTGACGGACTATTTATTTTCCCTCCATTTAATGTGCTTTAAGTGTTAGTGTAACATTATTTGTGTGACAAAGTACATTCTCTTATGCTGAAATAGTAAGGGATAAGTAGGAGAAAAGAAACATCTAAAATCAGTCTCTAATGTGAGCCAGGCTTTAAGAACTGTGCACCATCTCATTAGTAATGACAGTATGGCCACATTTATGCTAGTAATGGGTGCTATCACAAGTCATAGAATAACAGAATTCTAGTTAAACTTGATTTTCAGCTATGGCCATAAAGCTGAGGGAAATGCTGGATAAGCAATCCTATATTTCTAAAAAGAGGCGTGAAATCGTTTCTCCTAAAACTTGTTGACACTGACCAAACACACCCAGTGACCATTCCCTACAATTGCCCATAGGAATGGAGGATTCTCTGAAGTGCTAGAATTCATAGGATTAGAGATAATCAGGGCACTTTCCCTTCCACACAAGTCAAGTTGTGGAGACACCAAGAAAACCTCTTGAACAGGTTGTGTGTGCGTGCGTGCGCGAGTGTGTGTGTGTGTCTATCTTTTACTAGGAATTGCTTGTAAAAGTGAGAAATGGGAAAATTACACAAGCTAGAAGCTGGAAATTGTCTGGAACTGTCCACAAGGATGCTAGGAAAGAGAAAGGGGAAGGCGACTGTGGGGAGAAGCTCTATTTCCAGCTTGGGATCGAACAAAGACGTGAGTTGCACTTGAAGATAGCAGGGCTGGAGTCATTTTGAAAGGATTATGCCTGAGAGGTCCTGCCTGCTGAGGCTACCCAAACCAGAAGAGAGACACCACCTGAGAGGGAGCTGAGCTGGGGAGCTGGTGCATTGGCCAGCTAGACCATGCAAAGAGTCCAGTGAGGGCATTCCTAAGGGAAGGGTGGCAGTCACTCAAGAACCCACAGAGCTGCCTCACAAAAAAAGAGGCTTGTGGATGCCTTCCTCTTTTGAGAGCAAATCCATCCTCTCCTGGATGTCTGACCCTGGAGACAGGGGGGACATAGAGGAGGAAAAAATAATAGATCTAAATGGAGGAGAAAACAATAGATCTAAGAGACTGTAAAAACCACTGACAGTCCCACTAGCTCTTCCTCACTTTTGGTCTCAGGTCTACTCTGATAAGTGGGAAGAAACTTTACATTGAACATTAGATTGGTGTTTTGATTTAGATCTTACTGTCTTACTGTGTGTGTGTGTGTGTGTGTGTGTGTGTGTGTGTGTGTGTGTGTGTGTGATTATTGTTTGTTGTTTTTATTACCTGAAGATAAGGCTTTTAAGATATTGTAAGCTGACCCCAGGACCAGAGGAATGGCCCAAATTGCTATCAGGGATAGGAAATAGATCTGACAAGGTGTGTATGAAAGTGGACCACAGACTAAAATGAAACTGTTTCCTCTTAATATTCTAGCAGTTCAGCTCATTCGATAAACCAGTTATAAGCCTCCAGCTTCACTTATCCCAGCAAGCTCTGATTTCAACAGGTAGCCATTTATTACCAGCATCTTGTATTCCATCTGGGCCCTGATTCGTTTAGGTCTAAGTTACCATGTAGAGCAAGCCTCCCCTAGGCAGGTGAGTCATTTCCCTCCTCACTGGGATGAGCCTCTGTGAATCTGTATAATTCATTCTTCCATGTAGATGGTAAAGTATTGTCAGTAGATTCTGCACTCTTGGTCAGTGTTTAATGTATTTGGCAACGGATTAGAACAGAAAGTAAAAGAAAATGAAGATAAAAATCTGAAAGCATGGCAGGACACTGTTGTGACTGCTGTACACACACACACACACACACACACACACACACACACACACACACCCTTATAAATGATGGACTGCTTTTTCCCAGCTATTCAGTCGGGTCTTAATATAATGCTTCTCCAACTCCTTGGAGATGCAGTGTAGTCCACATGCACAGATGGTGGAGAGGCCAGCTATAAATATAAATTCAACAATGAGGCTGACCACGGTGGGAAGAACATAGCCCTCTCTGTTTAAGTTTCAACAATAAATGGCTACCATATATTTTGAGGCACATTTTGGGCTCATATGGCCAGCTGTTCAGCTTTGGTCTGTCCACAAGCTTGCGGCTGAGAGTTACTCTTGGCAGCCATAACAATCTGCTTCTCACTGAAGCACACACAATGGCCTATTCCAGCCAGTGTCCATTGTTAATGGATATTTACATAAGCCTAATGAAGTTTCCACATAGTCTTTTATATACAGTTAGCTATTCCCACTCTAGCAATTAGTGACTTAGGAAATAGAGTAAACATAATCTACTAAATTAAACTGAGTTAATGACTTGTTTTGCTCTCCAGAAAATAAATTTGGGAGAAATATTGAGATGTGTGTACTCTAACAGGTGAAATATATACACAGGTCAAGAGGATCAAAGGCATTAAAAAAAAGTCATCTTACTATAGGAAGTCCTATCAATAACAGTATATATGGAATACTGTGATGCCATATACACAGTGCTAGACTGCTGCCTCCCTGCCTCCCTCTCTCTCTCACATGCACACTCACATAATGCATGAAAGCACAGAAAATGTTCTGCTTTCTTAAGATTTTACACATGCATCAGAAAGATTTACCCATATTATGTAAGTGGTGGTGAATGGAAATTAAAATACTTTTGCTGATTTATATTATTTGTATTCTTTATCTCATAATAGCTAAGGAAAAGTTTTATTGTTGTTTGTTTTAATTTATCTGCTTACTTATGTGGTGGGGGGCGGGGCACATTGGTTAAGAAGCTGCCTTTCCAAATGGAGGAGGCCAACTATAGCTCCAAGGCCACGAGTCAGTGAACACACCAGCCAGAAAGTATCAAGAATCAATGTGTTAGGTGTCATAAGAACAAGGTTTCAGTAGCCAGATTTGCAAACCTGTAAGCAGTTAAATTAGGATCCAGTTAGCATAGCTGATGTTGATGAATTACTTACCCTCAAGTTATCCAGTAAATTGGAGTGTGGGCAGGTAGTAATTAAATTAATAAAACTATTTGATAGCTGGGTGGGAAAGTTAGCAATTTTCTTTTGCTGAGGGGATGCAGGATAGAGAACAAGGCTGGAAAGATAAGATAGATATAAGGTATCCATTATCTCTAAGCTGATTATACTTCTTCCAGCTGCTGGTTGGCATTCATTTTCCTGGCAGTGGTCTGCAGTGAAGGATATTGAAAATACATAACTGTTGTCCAGGAGAGTTGAGGGCTAGGGAATAAATGCAGTGATGATTGGGCCATATGCAGTCTGGAATATTTTTAACTTAATGGCAGAAATGGGTAAAGATAGAATGAAGTTGCCATGGGAAGAAGTAATATATTCTTCATATTCTAATGTGCACACACACAAAAAAACGCTACATGGCCAAAATGAATGCATGTCATTATAAACACTCCCTAAGTATAGGTTGGTTTAGGAAAGGCACCATATCATGTCTTCCATAGAGAAAGTAATATGGACTATGTGTTCCATGTTAATATTGAATGTTTTCTAGTGCTGGTTTTGTTTATTTTTTTTTATTTTTTTTTTTCTGCCAACACTGGTAACAAAATAGAATTCCCTCCCTGTAGGAGGCAAAATATATTGG